TATAATTTTTCATGAGAAAAGATTCTCTTTTGCTGGTAGCAGTGAGTTTCACACCACATGATTGGAACTATATCAGTTTCAAGTTTTATTTCTGCATTTTCCATAAACAATAACAAAAATAACAATGAATACATTTTAACAATATAATGATAAGTAATACAAGTAGTAATTCACAAATAAATAAATATAAATAATCAATAGTACAATTAATCGTATTTGAAAAGAAAGAAAAGGGGGAGAATGCAGAAGACCGATATCGTAAGCAGAGCTTGAAATGATACCGGCCTTACAAAAGGAGGAGAGGAGACAGGAAGAAAGAGCGGGTGAAGAGAGTGCTGTGCAAAGTGAAGAGTGCACTGCGCGAGCTACTCAATCTATCAAATAATTTCCTTTTTATATACAAATAAACAATGAATATTTATATTAAAACAAACTACATGTAGTATATTATGACCAGAATCTAATTTTCATACCTTATCAATAAATATTCTTTCATCTTCACTTTAAAGGAAACAAGTGTTGTACATAATTTTAATGTTATATAACTAGTATAACATATGCTAGTTCCTTTGGTGGTCCACCGTGGATTCGGTTTAAGGCTGCTTATATTAGTTAGGTACACAGCCGGCTCCAACAGGGAAATTGTGTGAACCTATTTATTAATGTGGATTAACGTTTAAGGGACCAACAATGTTTATATGCATTTCAGACATTATATTGGCTGAAAATGTTCATTTGGTGTGTAAAAAACCCATTACGAACAATACAGTGAAAATGATATTAATATATTGACTGCTATGAGAAAGTCTGTATAGAAACAGCTATGTGTCCAATATTAAAGCATTCCATATATCTTTTATATACCGAATTCGCACAAAGAAACTTCTTACACGTTAACCAATGGGAATTTCAGCAAAATTTAACAAAGCCTCCCGTTACCCGGGGCAACGGGCATCTTTTTCATTAAATATTAACCATGAGGCGGGCATGGCTAAAATCACGACTCCAATTTTGATCAATGAGATGACTAGATTTATTCAACATACTAAAGAGAGATATAGGTTCAGACACACAAAAGACCACAAGGTCCTAAATAGGGCCCAAAGAATCAGCAATTCTAGACAGTCAATAGAATTTCTTTAACCTATTTTGTTGGGTAAAAGCATCACAGCAAAACTCTGTTTCGGTATAAAAAAAAAAATACACTGATACATTATGGATATGACGCTGTGATAGCCAAATAGGTCTCGCGTAGTCTAAATCTGATGTTAAGGGCCCAAATGCAACATAGGTAATTAAAGAACATCAAACTAAGTAAGTTAGATATAATTGTTTTCTTTTTACATACATGTATTATTCTAAACACTGTACTTGATAATGCAACCAATGTTAAATCTTTATAGGGCCAGCTCAAAGGGCCTCGGGAGCCCTGTAGCTATTCATTGGAACCCAATAAGTAATGCGTGAAAATCGAGTATTGTATTGACTAGAATATTAAAACACATGCTATATTAGATGTGTTTGTTCGTTTTATTTATTCAACCACGGTTAACATCTGCTATCAGCCACGAAGTTGTTTTTCAGCAAGTCCGTAAAAAAACATTCACACAATATACATGTACATAAACAAAACAAATATAAATTCATAACACAAATTAAAATAACAAGAATAAAAATGTGGAAATAACTTAATAAAAAGAATACAAATTTGTAAAAAAATAATAATAATAATAACAAGAAAACAAATCTGTAAATAACTTTTAATAGTAATCACGCTTAGTATTTTTAATATCAGAAATTTGAGGAAAAAATAATAATAATAATATTTAATTTTTATATAGCGCTTAATACAAATGTCTCTAAGCGCTTTACAAATATATACTATTACTAAATACAATTTAGTCAAATCACAAGCTCCTTATCATAAAACAAATCATCAAAGGTAGATTGAGTGAGAGAGCGAGGGAGAGAGGGAAAGAGAGAGAGAGAAGAAGATGAGAAGATAGAATGAGAGAGAGAGAGAGAGAGAGAGGGGGAGATGAGAAGATAGAATGAGAGAGAGAGAGAGAGAGAGAGGGGGGAGATGAGAAGATAGAATGAGAGAGAGAGAGAGAGAGAGAGAGAGAGAGGAAGATGAGAAGATAGAATGAGAGAGAGAGAGGGAAAGAGAGAGAGAGGGGGAGATGAGAAGATAGAATGAGAGAGAGAGAGAGAGGGGGAGATGAGAAGATAGAATGAGAGAGAGAGAGAGAGAGAGAGGAAGATGAGAAGATAGAATGAGAGAGAGAGAGTGAAAGAGAGAGAGAGAGGAAGATGAGAAGATAGAATGAGAGAGAGAGAGAGAGAGAGGAAGATGAGAAGATAGAATGAGAGAGAGAGAGAGGGGGAGAGAGACAGAGACTAAGATAGTCGATAACAATTATAACGTAGGGGGGAATACCATCGATCGCCTTTATAAAGTTTGAAAGCCGAGTTTCTTTTCTGGTGAATTGGGGTAGGTGATTAAATAGCCGAGATGCTATATAAAGAGTACTGTTTCTTAGAAAATTACTTTTAATCTATTGTAAAGTTCATGTCTGCTGAAGCGAGAATCCACCCAAAGTACTATTCTTAATGCCCTGTTTTGTAATATCTGAAACTTCTTTACGTGCCCAGAGTTGGGTTTCATCAAAATCCTACTACAATAATCAAAACGAGATCGAATCACCGTACTACATAACAGTAGAGCAGTCCGGTGATCGATAAATGGTCTAACTCTTCGCAAGACAAAAAAATTTCCGTGGTATTGTTGATTTCGCCCTTTCAAACTGTGTGTCCATGGAAAATCTGTATCAAGTTTAACACCGATATATTTACATTGATCGACTCTCTTTAGGGGCCAATTATCAATACAAACATTAATGTTCTCAACAATTTTACGTTTACGTTTTGTTCCTATGACCATAAACTTACATTTCATTGCATTAAATTTATTATGCAGTAACCAATCATGAATCTTAATTAATTATACACTGAAGACTATTTGGATCTCTAGATGCATAGTAAACAAATATACCATGCACTGAGAGGCTCTAGTTGAAATTATGGATTGAGGTGACAGGAATAGCACTAATTTCTGTGGGGCGTAGCCCCGAAGAAAATAGTGCCATTTCTGTCACCGAGGAATCCATAATTTTAACTAGTGGCTCGAAATAGTGCATGATGTATTTGTTTTATATTTTTCAAACCAACCTTCATAAAAATAATAATAATAATAATAATAATTATGTTATCTGTTACTGAAGTAGTGTAGAGTGCAGTGAGAGCAGCGCAAACGACAGTACCGCACTCGCACATTGATCTTGATTGATCGCATATATATGACGTCATCCATGGTATAGTGCCATGGTAAAGTGCACTATACCATGGATGACGTCAAGGTTACATCATAGCAATGTTACGTTTGGTCACATGATGCTATGTTGACCAATCACAGAACAGGATTTCATTGATCAAAAATATAATATAAACATGTGTCGTCAGCAAACATTGATACAGTGCGACGCTGGACAACAGGTGGTAAATCATTCATGTATAATATGAATAACAGTGGCCCCGATATACTTCCCTGTGCTACGCCACAAAATACTTGGTTTGCTTCTAACCCGTTACCGTTAATAATAGTATTGTGTTTTCTCAAAGAAAAATAATCTCGGAACCAACGTAAAGATTGAATCCATTGATGATAGGTGTGGATAACATATTATACACTTTCAATCACAATGCTTAAGGTCCATTTTCTTGATTAAATCGTAAATCATATGTGCCCACTGAATGACGCATCGTCTTGCTTGAATAATGTTGGTAAAAATTAACAATAGTGCTTGTTTATTTGATCTAATAATAAGGAAGTATGTATAAATTACATAATTTGGTAATTCCAGCTTTCGAGGGGACATTTTGAATGCTATATGCACAGTTGGAAACACATCTTTGGTGCATGTGAAAGAATTTGCATAACAGCCCCACACATTGCTTTATCATTTATGTGTGCTCCAAATGATACAAACCTGGACGAACATGCCTAAAACCTTGGTAGGCACTTACGAAGTAACTACATAGGCTTACAGCAGTATGAAGTCGGTGGATACCCGGGCATAGTGAAATATATTTCTAGGTTTTTTTTTTCCTCGATAAGCCCGTCAAAAAAATGTTGGACATTGTGATGGTGATGGATGGTGTAGGAGCACGTGGTATATAGTTTATTATCAACGAATATCATCAATGGGTTCAACACATCATAAAATATATATGTTTTATTATAGTTTTGATTAATGAAATTCTGTTCAGTGATTGGTCAACATAGCATCGTGTGACCAAACATAACATTGCTATGATGTTACAGATAAGAAAAATGTGCTAAGCCGTGACATCATCCATGGTATAGTGCACTATACCATTGATGACGTCATATATATTTTCTTCCAAGGCACTCCTATGCATCCATTCAGCGAGCGTACGGGATTTCAAATGACATGCACAGTAAACAGAAGAAGGAGCTGCGGAAGAGGAAGTTTAAGCGCGAATGAGAAAATGAGCTAGGATCGACTGCCGCAAATGTTATTTGAACACATGTCAAAGAAAAGCAACTGTATTTTATTTCTAAAATTAATTTGTATTGTTTGGAATCAAGTTTTTTTAAAAACTATATTGCGAGAAAACAAAATGTAATAACCAGGGGTGATAGTGAGCACTAAAAAAAAAATAGGTTTTTTGTTTTCCCCTCAACCACGCCCCCCTTGAGTAAAAAAAAAAAAAGAGGATTCGCGGGGAAAAAATGGCATCTAACAACATTCCCCCCTTTCGAGTAAGAAAATTGGGGGGAAAAATAGAGCAAAAAAGGGAAGAACAGAGAAAATAAGGGAGGAATCGGGAAAATCAGGATAAAATAGGGAAGGGAAAAAAAATCTGGTAAAAAAAAAAAAAAAAAAAAAAAAAAAAAAAAAAAATTGACGGTGACAGCTCAGAGAGAGCATCATATAACCAGACATGTCACGAGCAGGACAGCCGCCTGCAGCTTGTCTACTCCTTGGCAGTGGCTTCACAGACCATCTCTATGTTCCCGATGGGCTTCTTCTTTGATCGTTTTGGGACTAGAATGTCTAGGCATCTGCTCAGGTAAGAGTCTTAAAGATAAAGTTGAGTTCTGGTCATTGAGTTCTGATTGCATTGTGAAAGAAAAGGTGTGGAATGGATCAGAAAAAAAGTTGATCACGTAGCATGTAAGTATTGGTGTGTACTGCAAAGTTCCGGAGTCATCAAAATCATAATAAATTTGGCCCAGTCTTGGTAAAGTAACAAGCACTGTACACAGCAAGATGCATACGGGACTACACAAATGGTGTCGGGGCTAACACCCTTGATTTTCTAATCTTTCTATTCTCATTACTCAGCCAGTATACTTTTTCTACCTAAATTGTTTGGCGAATGACATGTATTTGTAATCTTGAACATTCAGTGTAAGTTTCGTTTGATTTTGTGAGAATTCTTTTTTTTCAAAACCAAAAACTCACCACTATCTTTAACATTCTCTCATTTTTCATATATCAAGTTTAAAGATTTGTTTCAATACGTTATGTTTTAAATATAGGAAGCCAAAAAACAGGAACCTTTCAGCTAACAAGCACCTTCATTCATAAATGGATAATGCAAATGTGTAAGACTTCACATCGGAAAGCATGTATACTTATTTTTTTATTGCATTTCCCCCCTGTTGATTATCTTTAGCCTCCTGTTACTGATCGGCTATTTAATGATGGGATTCAGCTCTCCTCTTACCCCCTTACTCCTGTTCCCGGGGACCATTATCTTTACTGTGGCAGGCTCCTTACTCCTCTTCTCATCAGTGCAGGTCAGTTTATCGATTACGTTATCAATGTGACATATTTGGTTTGAATTTTCCCCTTTACCTCGTTTTCTCATTTTTGTTATCTGTCTTTTTTAATATTCATTTTCTGCTTTACATTGCTCCTTCTCTTCCTCTTCTTTTTCTTCGTATTCTTCATCACCATCTACTTATTCTTTATCGTCATCAACATCATCATCCATCATCATCATCTTAATCATTTGTATCACCAACGTCATCATCATCATCATCATCATCATCATCATCATTATCATCATCGTCGGCAACATTTTCATCATTCTAAGACATCTAAGATACAAATCGTATGCTCGATCTTGTAATTGAAAAACAAGTCAGAATTGTTTTTTTTTTAACCAGCGGACATGAATCTGCCGTCTATTTCTTGCCGAGCAGCGACTCTACCTCCAAGCCATCACTGGTCTATGGCACAGTCACGATGAACTGGAAACAAATACCTCAGCTCTCCGGACTCATTCTGACGTATCAATACTCAATAGTCCGCCATAAAGACAATGGCTTTGAATTTCAAGAATGTTATCATCATTCATCATCAGCATCATCATTATTTACATCTTGAGCATGATTATTTTAATCAAATTTCTGGTTATTTACTTATTCTTGTCAATTTTCAGAATTATATAATTTGGCTACATGATTAATTTTGCTTTTGCCCAAAGAATTTCAAGAATATAAAAATACAAAATGTAACCTTTCGCATTTGCTATCGACTGCATCGGCTAATAAATCATTCTGTTTAGAATATATGGATTACACGCAGATTTTTGTAATTACGATGTATGGTGTTTTTTCTTATTTCTAAATACAGATTGGTAATGTTTTCCAAGGAAGGAAATCTACTGTCATTTCATTGATTAATGGCGTGTATAGTTCATCAACGATTGTCTTTTTAATAGCTAAGGTAAGAAACAATTTTCAAAGAAATTCTAATTCGCATTGGCGTAGAATGGGTTAGGCCGGTTAGGAGGGAGCATGAGCAGGGCCGTAGCCAGAGTTTGATGTTTGGGGGGGGGGGGGGGGGGGGGCACATACATGTAATTGATCGAAGTCCTGGGGAGGGGTCTAAAAAAGTTCAACCGATCTGGACATGTTTTGGGGGCACGTGCCCCCCCCCCCCCCATCCCCCGTGTCCCCCTCCCCCGTGGCTACTGGCCTGGGCACGAGTATCTTTGGGTGACATCGGTTTTCTCAGGTAAGAGAATGCGAGATAACAAAACCGTCGAGTAAGGGGTGTACGGGAGGGGTCGTACCATCTTTTTTCTTCGTTGTCTTCTTCTCTTTCTTCCTCTCTCTCTCTCTCTCTCCCTCTCTTTTTCTCTCTCTCTTTCCCTCTCCCTCCCTCTTTCTTCTTTTGTTATCTTTCTTTCTTAATTCAAAATCCAATTGCAATTCGAACTTGAGTTGATTTCTTGAAAGCCTTTACGATCGCCTTCTCAATTCAAATCGCACTCCAGGCAGCTTATGAAGCAGGGTTGTCCCTTCGAATCTTCTTCTCGATTATGGCTGGATCCGTGATCCTCCTCAGCATTAACACCTTCATCATCCTGCCCGTCAAACGCATCCCCTGGCCCTACCCCGACCACCATCGACTGGTAACCTGCTGCACTACAAAGACCGATCAAGACCAGAAGGGTGTTGCTGGACTCCGCAATGAAGCATACGTTAAGGATCCCGCCGATGCTATGGGGTGTTCAGAAGAACCACACGGGGACGGAGTAGGGTTGGACTCGGTTACTGGTAGGTATGGATGTTTTGTTTCCCTGTCTCTCCCTCTTTTACGTTTCTCCCTTCCTTTCCTTCTCGGTGATGTTCTTGCATGGTCTTCTTCTTAGGCCTGTTGTTGTCGTTGTTTATCTTCTTCTGATAAATTTATATTTCCAGACCTCTTTTTTTTATAAAATCTGTTTTATTTGTTTGTTTATTTTGTTTTATCTCTTTCTTTGTCTTTGAAAATAGAATACGTTAATCCACCATCATAACATTAGCATTGGAATATTTGTCTTATCAACTCAGATACCAACGGAGAAGAACCGGCGAATCTAAAAGAAGCCCAGATAAAGTCCAATGATGGCTGTTTCGAGGACGAGAAGAGAAGGAAATATCCGACATTTCGCTCATGTATATTATCGCCGCCATTTTGGATGATACTGTTATGGCTAGCGATCCTGCAGCTTCAGCTCAACTTCATATTCGGTGCAATCTACTTTTTCCTCAGCAGGCTAGCCAATAACGACGGACGACTAGGTAATAATGTCGACGAGGAGTCTCTCTTTCTATTTCAATGATATTTCATGGATACTTTTCAGTGCACAAAACATATTCCATTGAAGCATACCACCAAATATATTTGCCGCCGCATGCAATATAATAATAATAATAATAATAATAATCTTTTAAAGTCCACTCCTAATTTTATTAAGTTAAACCGAAAATGGAAATTCTTTTTGCCCAATCGATCGTGAGCCCGGCAGCGAATTTTTTTTTCCCAAACAGGTTTACCTATGAGAGTAAAATCCTGCCTCCTGATTGGTTCAGAGGTATACGCATCATGAATATTCATGAGCTGAGCTGAAAGGTACTAGTAGTATTACGCATGCGCGTGACACAAGGCGAAGCTGCTCATGCAGCTCATCGAAATCCAAGTTTGAGTACGTTGATGCAGCGCAGCTATAGTACGTAGGCTATACACTGCATGCATGGAAAAGCTTGTCTTTGACATGTGTAGAGCCTGTATATATTACTTTATGTCCTTTGTTTTCTTTGGCCAGGTTCATCTGTCACAAAGGAACCAGAACCACTGATATGTTTGTTTGTTTTGTTTTATTTCCACTTTTTCATATCAATACAAAGAAACATACAAATAAATATAATGAATAACATGTAAGTTTGACAAAATTTGTTTCTAGTTAAAATAAAAGTCTCATACAAAAGGAAAAAGCAGCAGACCACATGTCGTAAGCGTAAATGCTTGAACATGACCGTGGCCTCTGCCGAGTTAACAAAATAAAAGAACAACCCATGCAACTGCATTGTATTCAATGTTAAATAAGATATAAGTGAAGTGATTAAAAGAGAGCATGGCTGAATTAATTTTGAGTGAAAATAACAAAACAAATTTAGTGAAATATTTCGTGTTGAGAAGTGCATTTGTGCAAGGTGCAAAAATTAGCTTGGTGGAACAAAAAAGAGACTAATACCGTGATATTAATTGTGTGTTGGTTTCAGTTACGGGTGATAATATTAAATGTTTGTCAAGATATCATGCTCAGAGCAACACAGTGGCTTTGACCCACATCCAACTCATGTCGGACCATCCTGATAAGATAATTCATACCCCTTGTGTGTGTCTATTGTGTATTCTTGACAGCTAGTGTGTGCATTTGTTGCTTATGTGTTTGTAAATACATGAGGGTGGGTCTGTGTTTATAGAGAGAGAGAGAGAGAAAGATAGTGTTTGTGTGTATAGCCTATGTGTGAAATTGGAATATTAGTGTGTGTACTGTAAGTGAACTCTTTGAGAAAAAAAAATCCGCAGTGTAAAACTATATAAACCAAGCACCAGAATAACCAGAAATGTTCACAAACAAACAGACCCCCCCCCCTTCCCCCAATAAAAATCCCCTCGCACCACAGCTAGCTCACATACATTTTGTACACCTAAATGGCCAGCAAAACTGAAGTCCACGCGCATGCGTAATACATATACTAGGTACTGCAGCTCAGTCACAGTGCTGTGAACTCAGCTCGTGAATATTCATGACGCGTATACCTCTGAACCAATCAGGAGGCAGGATTTTACTCTCATAGGTAAACCTGTTTGGGAAAAAAAAATTCGCAGCCCGGCAGCCACTGAGCAGCGCCAGATCGACGTTGCTCTATCCCTTATTGTTGAACGCCAAACAAGGTATGACGTCATTGACAGCTGATTGGCAAGTTCGGTAGTGACGTCAAGCGAGCTACGACGGTTTATGCTGCAACGCGCGCGCAGCAGATTAAGCGAGTGAAAATGAGACAATCGGAGTTTGAAACGTAGCCATGATCAAGCGTGGCCATTCAAGCATACATCGATTGATATCTCTGATTTTTCACCAAAAATTTACATGAGAACCACAGAAAATCCCCCTCCTTCGAAAATTTGTTCAAAATTTGCGATTCAGAAATTACAAGGAGTTGCTCAGGGAGTCAGGAGGAGTTTAATTTTTGTTTTGTTTTTGTTTTATTAGTGAGCCGGTACACCGATGCATTCGCGATCATCCAGGCTTTGGTGTTCTTCGGGGGGCCTCTCGCTGGTCTTCTTATGGATAGGAACAAGCTCCAGACACCATGCTCTATCGCCAGTGAGTTTATAGCACGATTGGGAAATCGCCTAAAGCAAGTTCAGTAGTCCTATCCATCACGAATCATGAATCCATCATGAATATTACAATGACGTGTCACTAAATCCGAACACGATTTGTAAATACATAATGCAATAGAGTATTGTTCTTGTTGACTTTTATCGATGGTGTTGTATGCATGTTTTCGCATTTCGCGTTATCTTTTTCTCCCCACCTCAACAAAAGTAATTGAACATGGAGTTATACATAACATTGGTAACAAATTTTGTATCGTATTTTGACAATTCTAACTTAGCATTTTGTTTTCTATTGTTTTGTTTTCGAGATGATTGCGTTGTTTTAACATTTAGCATATTAATCAACTACACTACGGTGAGAAGACAATTTCTGAATACGTAACCATGACAAAAAAGAGAAAGATACAATTCATTATGAAATTAAATTGATTATAACCCTTATCTGCACAGAAATTATAAATATCCAATCGGATCCACCGCAAGAGATATTTTATAATATATATACATGTATTTGACCGTCTCTTTGAAATCCAGAGAAACCGAATGTTCGGGGTCAGTTTGCCGATTTGCGAGATAGCTGTCTCCCTCTAGCGGTCACAAGTCTCTCGGCAGTCGGTTACTCGGTATGTCTCTTGATACCAAGTCTTCCTCTTCAGTATCTCACTTTTGTCTTCATCCTTATCGTGAGAACTTTTCTCTTTGGGACCGCGCCGGCGGTGACCACCATCATGTAAGTTATCAAAATTATACTGTAGACCACAAATTTTGAACTTGATTCAGGGCATATTTTGTTTTCCTGTTTTGTTAAAACGTTTCGTTTCTAGTGTTGCAGATTTCAAGGATCAACTTGGACTTGTAAATGTTTTTAGCTTTAGTAAAAATATGAACAGAAAATCAAATAAATTATAGCTCAAAGAAAAACAAATTAGGGAGTCATCTGATGAAGTAGTAGTACAGCTCTAAGACTCGTATATTAAATAATTAACTATGATAGCGACTGAAGATTTGAATTATTTACATGTGAGAAATTACATACATAAATATTTATTTAATATCAATGTGTATCTGATGATTTCAGATTTCCCATGCAGTACTTCGCCAGTGTGTACGGTGCTATTCGGACTATGAGTGGTTTCGTATCCTTCCTGCAGTACCCGATCTTTATCCTGATCCAGAATTATTTCAATGACGACCCTTTCTGGGTAAACAAAATTTTGTTTATTGCGGGATGCCCATTGTACGCAATGCGTCTTTTCGATTAAGTTAATGTGATGAGTGATAATGTGTTTGTAATTATGATTATATAGTTTACGTTCATTGAATTTAAATTTGAATTTTGGGGTAAACATCATTTATATAGACCTACATGCACATTAAGTTTCACAATACATAAATAGAAGAAGAAAATCAACAAGTTGTATATTTACGCGAGTAATCACAAATGAACAATAGACAATGTAATTTGTATGTACAGTCGTTAATGATATTATTGCAAAGATTATATATTTCAAAAGGCACAAAAGACATTCATCTAAATTGGCATAATTATGCTTACCAAAAGCTCACCTTAATCTGTATCCGGGTGGAAAATTATTAACTCGTTTCAATTAACCATCAACATCAGCATTATAATCTTGTGCGTACATGCAGTGCGCTTAAATATAAATAAGACGACCTATCCATAGAATATTATTTTCATTCTTCTTTTTTTTTTTTTAGGTGATCGTCGCCTTTATCGTAGCCGATTGTGTGACCCTCATACTGCCTATCGCCCTCTACGTCATGTCAAGAGGAAAGTCCCATGCAGCTGCAGGCCGTACGAGTGCCGATCCCGGGTGTGACTTTGCGTTTTACACCCTGGCCTGGACCTTTTCCCAATAAATTTCAAGGAACCGACTGGGAAAAATCTATCCATGACAAGATATTGCGCGCGCACGTAGCTCTTCTGCAATGCTCAACGTACGTCCTATATGTCCAGTGTCGCGGTACGCGGTACATGTACTTTTGTATCGAGACGTACGAGTGAGAGAAAAACAACGAATAACAACAGAAGGAAATAGAGAAAAACAATAAATAATTAAAGAACAGAGAGGAAACAAAGAATGTCATAAGCAGAGAGAGAAAACAAAAACTAACTTGAAAGAAAGAGAGAAATTAGAGAAGGAATTAATCAAAGTAAGGAAAGAGAGAAACCAAATAATATTATGGTTTTTGTGGTTTAATTCCGCCTTCTTCAGGGTTTCAATTTTTGACGTGTAGCCTACTTTCATATTCATAACTCCTAAGTTAACTCATGTTCGAACTGTATTAAGTTAGTAAGTTACACCTTAAGTTAGGCCCTCCTGCAGTCCTAGACTACATAACGTTAGATCTAACGTTATGTTTGTTTACATTGTTACTTATGCTTAGCTAGTCCAATTGACATTGCTGTTGTTAATGTTGACTGACAGACAGTACTGACAGTGACAGTGACAATGTGACACTGTGCAGCGACTCACTTAGTCTTACTCTTAGTTTTGCTAACTATATGGATGCCTAACAGTTACAGTTAATCGTACTCATATAACTACAATTCAAAACTGGATTTACAGTATTCATACTCGCAAAGGCGTCTGCATTGCCACTCCGTCATCATCCTCGATGAATTCCATCGTGCAGCAAGCTTCTTAACTTGTTGTTCTGAACTTGAAATCCTATATCTTCTCCCTTAATCTTCAGTATTGCAGCTGCGTACGGTGTGTATAAATGCTGCATCGACGTACGTCTGTGCATGTACGATTCGATTTGGAACTGGCGCGCCCGATCGAGGAGCGTAGACTAGACTCATTCAAGCAGTTTCATTGCTATTTACCGGGAAAATGTCCAGGCCAGGGTGTAAAACGCAAAGTCGCATCCCGGGTCACAAAATTGAAGAATAATATGCCTACTTTGTATCATGGGCAATAAAAGGAGGAATATTTAGTGGGGTTGACTTGTGTTTCTTGAATTTCAAAAGGTTTTTGAGACAATATACGATAACATATTATTTAAAAAGCTATCCTATTATCCGGGGACATGCACTTAAATGGCTCGAAAGCTATCTTAGTGACAGAATGCAGTTTGTGAAATACAAAGATTCATCATCAGAAAGTAGATATATCAAATGTGGTGTACCACAAAGTTCTGTCTTAAGACCAACTCTGTTTTGAATCTATATAAATGACTTGCCAATTGTGACAAATTATTTGAAATTCAGACTATTTGCAGATGATTCTAATATTTTTCATACCTTTCCAAAAGGTGCAGATCAAATAGATGAGTCTGAAATAAATAAAAATTTAAAATCAATACAGAATTGGTGCACTGCAAATAAGTTTACTATCAATGCGTCAAAAAACATTTTTTTTGTTTTTAGTAGCCGTAGAAGAAAGGCGGTGCTTAGAGGGAAATTAAAAGTATCTGAGGCAGAATTATGAGAAGTGGAGGAAATAAATATGTTTTATAATGTACATGTATATCGTCGTAGAACATGTATTTTTATAATTCATGTCATGTATTTATGTTATATTGACATCGTTATTGTTTATTCATACATATCTTTTGTTTCAATGGTGGTGAATGAATTCAATTCAATTCAATTCAATTGATATTATTGTTATCATTGTTATTTTTATTGTAATTTTATAGGTGTGCTGTTAGAATAAATTACAGAAACAATTACAAAGTAATAATTTGTTTGCTATATGTTCCAATCAAAATATTTTTGACTATTTGTGCGGTTTTATAGTAACATCGTCGAAGTCATCCCTTGCCTAAGCTTCCTAACTGTTCTTTTGCTCATAATATTTTTATCTCTCTAATAAATTTCCCTCATTCCTCTCAGAATAGCTCTATGAATGCTTTCTCCTCACTGAGAGGGGTGGGGAGGAGGAGAAAGAGAGAGAGAGAAGAATAAGAGAGAGAAAAAAGAAAGAGAGGGAGAGAGAGAGAGAGAGAGAGAAGAGGGGAGGAACGCAATGACACTTTAAACCATGATAATGGTATATTTTGCAATGCGCCGCATGAAAATAGGCATTGTCTGAAAATATCCTATAAAATCTCGTTTAGGAATTATATAAATCAACTTATCTACAATTTTGTTCAGTCACAGTTTCATGCTGGAATATCAATATGATTACGTTCATCAATTTTGTGTGAGAAATATGCATTTGCACGTTTTAAACTAATTCACGACGATAATCGGATAGAAAACCGCACAAATATCCAACAACATAAAATGGCCTTTATACGGTAGATACTGATTAGTAATTGGTCAATGCGCCATCACGTGACTAGAGCTGCAAGGATCTCCAACGTTATATATTAGGGACTTTTAGATTGAGTGGACAAGAACACGACGAACGCCGACTGATCATGCATGTCAACGTACTCAACTGCCCATGTTGACTACAATTAGAAATTTTAGATTGCACTCGACGATAAACATGCATGCAGAAAGTAACACTATGAACATGACGGACAAAAGAACATCCCTTTACTGCTATTATGTAAAAATGTGTAGAACAGGTGAATAAGCATGTGACATCTGTTTTACACATTTTTACATAATAGCAGGGAAGGAATCGATGTTCCCTTGTCTACCTGAGGAACTGTATATTTTATGCGCACGCGGCATACTAGCACCGTACTAGATTTAGGAAATCAAGGTTGACGCATTCTCGATCGCCGACCGAGACGACGTGACGCATGCGCAGTGCCTTAAAATGACGTCACACGTTGCAGTCAAAGCTGTCGACGTGCAAATCTAAAAGTCCCTAATGCCCGATTGACGTAACCTCGGTCCGTTATATTGGACGTACGTCATCACCTACGTCAGGCCTAAAAAAAAAAAAGATGTTGTATTGCCCTTTAGGATAGGAAAGGGAAAGAAAAAAGGGAAAAGAAGAGATAAAGGGAAGAAAAAAAGAGAGAAGGAAGGAAAAGGGGAAAGAAAGAGGAAGAAAAAAGGAAAAGAGGAGATAAAGGGGAGGAGAAAAAAAAGGAAGAAAAACATAAGTAGCATTGTGCGCGCACGAATGCGAAGTGAGTGCTTAAGTGTTCTTGTTTAGAACTCTATGTCCGCGCCGCGCCTGCTGATCAGACATGGCGACTGCAAGTCGATTTACACGAAGGATTCTCATTGTAAAAAAGCAGTGATCAATTCACCTTTAAACATTCTTAGTCAGTACTGTGTTCAGTGTGTTGAAAAGGCACATCATTATTAAAGATATTGATGACTTCTCAGCAGATGAACTTAACGGCTTTCTTCGAACGTCCTCCGCTGAGGTAAGAAGAACGACTGGTAGCTTGTGATAACCCTACGTTTCGGATTACAAATACAATTTATTAAATAGGCCTAGAGTGAGGGAATTTTACATTGTGAATGATGCACAATTTAGACAATCCAGTGAAATGTTTTGTGCAATGTTAGTTCAAGTCAAAATAGCTGGCAAGGGATCTGTCACCCACAAAGATCCAATTTCTAAGGAAGAGTTTGTGGACATAAAATCCTCTTCAGTGTTAGATTTAAAGTGAACACAGCTAAAGGACTTAAAAACAAAGTTTGTGTTGATATGATGCTTCATCTATGAAATAGAGGCAGGGAAAATTTACGCAACTTCACTAAATCAGACGTTGCCATCAGCTCTGATTCTTCGAATCTTCGAAATCAGATCGTATACTTTGCTCGTGAAAAGCTAACCAAGAACCACCGCGGTGAGTCTCTTAACGACTCACCAATCAGAGCGGACGAATGTATGAAACCCCAGGCGCGGATCCAGGGGGGAGCGAGCGGGCCTTGCCACCCCCCCCCCCCCCCCCCCGCAAAAAAAAAGGAGAGAGAGAGAGAGGACAAGAAGGGAAAGGGAAAGAAAAGAGGAAGGGAAAAAAAAAGAGGAAGAAGAAAAGAAAAGAGGGAAGAAGGAGATCGGGGGGGGGGGCAAAAGGACTCGCCTCCCAGGCTTTTGCATCCCCCCGCCCCCCTCCCCCCCCCCCCAATCAAAAATTAAAAGAGAAGGAAGGAAAGGGAAAGAAAAAAGAAAAAGAGGAGATAAAGGGAAGGACAAAAGAGAAAGAAGAAAAGCAAAGAAGGGGGATATCTGTTGCAATTTTCCCGCCAACAAGTTGTGGATCGAGGGGGGGGGGGCAAAAGGCCCTAGCCTCCCCCCCCCCCCACCCCCGTCCCCGCTAAAAAAAAAAAGAGAGAAGGAAGGAAAAGGAAAAGAGGAGAGCTAAAATGGAACAAAAAAGAGGAAGAAAAAAAGAAAAGGGAGAAAAGAAGCGGAGATCAGTTGCGGTTAATCCTGCCAACAATGTGTGAAGCAGGGTGGGGACCAAAATGACCTTGCCCCTCCCCCCCCCCCCCCCCCAGCGAACCTAAAAGAGAGATAATGAAGGAAAGGGAAAGAGGAGAGAAAGGGAAAGAAAAAAGAGAATGAAGAAAGGTAGGGGATATCAGTTGCAATTTTCCCGCCAACAAGGTGTAGTTCGGAGGGGGTGGGGGGGGGGATGGGGCACTGGCGTACTCATAGGGGCTTTGGAGAAATAGAATTCAAACGTGGTTTATTTCTATTTCCATAACGGTGGTTTACAAATAATGCTGAAATGAGATCATTTTCCGAGATTTTTCCTCACTTTATGCGTTTGTTGGAAAATGACAAATTCCTAAATTTACAGCCAGGCAACGAATGCTTCTTGAGATGCCTACATATCAGGGCCCGCGGAACAGCTAGAATCGGGATCCTCGAGCCCCCCTCCCCCCCCCCCACACTTTCTTTGAAAAATTATATTAAAGAGAAAAAGAAAGAAAGAGAGCGAGAAGGAAAAAATAGTTAACTGCCAGTGTCACATTATAATGGGGTATCAAATTATGCTCATCTGACCATGATTAAATGCTTAAAACCCCAAGGGCTTTGCCCCCTGGATTCCACCTAGGGCCCTAAGGCGGACCCTTAGATGCTCATATGACGGTCATTTAATGCCTAAAACCCCTGATTTCTGGGGGCTCTGCCCCATGGACCCCACGCCAAATAGTGTCCTGCCAGTGTCACAAATAATAAGGTATCAAAAATGCTCATCTGACCGTAATTAAACGCTTAAAACCCCTGAGCTTCCGGGGGCTCTGCCCCCCTGGACCCAACCAAGAGCCCTTAGGCGGGCCCCTTGATACTCATCTGACCGTAATTGAGTGCCTAAAACCCTTGAGATTCCGGGGCTCCGCCCCCTGAACCCCAAGCCAATAAGTGACCTGCCACTGTAATAATTAGGTATCAAAATAATGCTCATCTGACTGTAATTAAATGCCTAAAACTCCTGAACTTCCGGGGCTCTGCCCCCTGGACCCCTAAGGCGGACCCCTGAATGCTAATCTGACCGTAAATTAAAACCTTAAACCCCTGAGCTTCCGGGGCGAACAAGGTATCAACATATGTTCATCTGACCGCAGGCGCGTAGCCAGGGGGCGGTGGGGTGGTCGTGGTCCCCCATAAACGCCGGCCAAAAAGAGAGAGGAGTGAAAAGGAAGAGGACGTAGGAAGAAAAGGGAATAGGCAAAGAACATTTTTGAAATTCAGACAAGGAGTCGAGAACGGTACAACGAATCGTCTTCTTTCTCTAATGAATTAATAAAACGTCAAAGCTTCCGCGCTTCGCGCGGGGGAGGGGAGGGGGAACTAAATTCAGACGAGGATAATTTTCGAGAACGGTACAACGAATCGTCTTCTTTCGCTAATGATTTAATGAAACGTAAAAGCTTTCGCGCTTCGCGCGGATGGGGGAAACTAAATTATTTTTTGAGAGCGGAACAACGAATCGTCTTTATTCTCTAAAAATTTAATGAAACGTCGAAGCTGGGAGGAGGGAACCGAATTTAGACAAGGATTAAGAGACGAAAACTATACAACGAATCGTCTTCTTTCTCTAATGATTTAATGAAACGTAAAAGCTTCCGCGCTTCGCGTGGGAGGGGGGAACTGAAAATAGACGAGGATTAAAAGTCATGACGGTACAACGAATCGTCTTCTTTCGCTAATGATTTAATGAAACGTAAAAGCTTCCGCGCTTTGCGCGGTGAGGGGGGGGGACTGAATTTAGACGAGGATTAAAAGTCATAACGGTACAACGAATCGTCTTCTTTCGCTAATGATTTAATTAAACGTCGAAGCTTTCGCGCTTCGCGCGGTAGGGAGTGGGGAGGAGGAAACTGAATTTAGACAAGGATTAAGAGTCGAGAACGGTACAACGAATCGTCTTCTTTCTCTAATGATTTAATGAAACGTAAAAGCTTTTGCGCTTCTCGCGGGATGGGGGGAAACATAATTTAGACGAGGATTATTTTTGGGAATGGTACAACGAATCGTCTTCTTTCTCTAATAATTTATTGAAATGTCAAAGCTTCTGCCCTTCGCGGAGGAGGGAGGGGAAAACTCGCCCCTCCCTGCACCCACCCACCCCTAATTACGAAAACATTATAATAACTGTTCTAATAATTACAATAATAATAATCATAATAATAATAATAACATTTATTATAATGATAATAATAATAATGATAATAATTCGATAATGATAATATTTTTTCCCGTCCACATGGTTCTTTATTTTCGAAACAAATTCCATCATAACCAGTATATCCATACATTATATACACAAAATTAAAGAAATAATTTCCCAACATAATGACTAAACAAAATAATCATCATCACGACCGAAAAACTTTGTGGCAGATAAAAACAAACATTTATGCCAAAATTAGTATTTTTAATATATAACAAAATGCCTAACATAAAATTCATGATCATGTTCGTGTAAGCACATTTCCAAAACTCTCAAAATATTTTCTTAAGTGACACCATTTCTTTTTCAATTTATTCTCTCTGAGATTTATTTGATATACATATATTTCCATTTTACCGCAAAATCCAAACAATTTATTTTGATTCGTAAATATAATCCTTTGCCCCGTATTACGAAATATCCAGATTTTCGACCAAATTTCGACCATTTTCATTACAATAGTTACAAAAGCAAAGACCATGTATGATAGTCCATTCTCCAAACCATATATTCAGGTGTTTCTGAGAGGTCCCCGAGCCAGCTTTGAAACATTTCATGCATAAATGCAAAAGAAATTGTACAACGTGGTTCTCTAAATAATTGCATTTGAATGGTTAAAAAGGGTGTCATCGGTTCTTCAAATGATGTTTATGTTCGTTACACACTTATTCATGTTAAATATCTTAAACAGGCAAAATCTACAAACGAGGTATTATCTGTCTGGTTTTCGAACTGTTTTATAATAATGATAATAATATTCCACTTTTATATAGCGCTTTACATAATAAACTACTACCCCGGTTACTGGATTCAGTGCTTGCTCACATTACATTCACATTCTCCCCTTTTATTATGTAATATACCAACAACAAGGAATAGTGGGTAATTCACTGTCGGACGTGGAGAGGACATAATTCAAAATATCAAGCTCTACATCATATGCATGGCTTTTCTTCAAAGAACTGCTTGACTCTTAACATTCTTCACATAGTCATTAACAGGATTCCATTAATTTTTCCCAGAAATGTTGGAGTTTATATAGTAAATATCTTTTTGAAATATGAAAATAAAAACTCAATTTAAAATGAGTTTTACTAAGCTGCACCTAATAACCAAATATAAGGAATTCACATTTATCTGAATTCAATTTTAGAGAACGTGCGAACATCCAATCGTGAACATCAACCATGCACGATTCAAGGCGATGAACAGCCCTTTCCGCAGATTATGCGGACTGGGGGATCTACAAACTACAAGCACTGCTTTTTAGTGGATCACCCCCATTTCCTCAGAAAATAAGAATTTCTTGTAATAATTGTATTATGTGCAAAGTGTATTTGTATCGTTTCCTGAAAAATGAATTATGTATGAAAACAAATGTAATATCTTTGTTTACCTTTCTGTTGGAAATGAAATAAACATGAATATTTGGATTGAAGGAAATCATAAGTTGAATCCGTCTGCATAAATATGATAATCTATGCCATGTTGTTACAAAACTTGTCGCAATCCAATCAAATAAATTGAAAAAAAGAGTCTGCCCGCCCACAGAACCCTGTGGCACACCATAAGAGAAACGCAAAGCAATTGATTTGCAACCACTAATACAAACTAAGATTAGATATGTCGAAAAAACCACTACAAATTAGTATTCGGTTTTTCAAAGCCCATGATACATGTATATAAAAAGTAGGCAATTTATTATTTCAATTTTGTCACCCAGGATCGGCACTCGTACGGCCTGCAGCTGCTTGAGACTTTCCTCTTGACATGATGTAGAGGGCGATAGGTAGTATGAGGGTCACACAATCGGCTACGATAAAGGCGACGATCACCTAAAAAAAAGGAAGAATGAAAATATATTCCTAGGAAAGGCCGTCTAATTTATAATTAATTGCACTGCCTGTAGGCCTACCTCAAAAGATTTCAATGATGATGTTGATGGTTAATGAAAACGAGTAATTACATTTCCACCCGGATACAAATTAGGGTGATCTTTGGGTAGACATAATTATGCCAATTTAGATGAATGTCTTTGTATCTTTTGAAATATGAAATCTTGCAAATAAATGTAAATCATATAATCATAATTACAAAAACATTATCACTCATCACAATAATTAAATCGAAATGACACATTGTGTACAATGGGTATCAAGCAATAAACTGTATGTTTTGCTTACCCAGAAAGGGTCGTCATTAAAATGATTCTGGATCACAATAAAGATCGGGTACTGCAGGAAGGATACGAAACCACTCATAGTTCGAATAGCACCGTACACACTGCCGAAGTACTGCATGGGGAATCTGGAATCATGAGATACACATTGATATTGAATATATATATAATTTCTCATCCACTCTCCAGTTGATTTCATAGTAAATTACTTAATATACAAGAGCTGTACTACTATGATATATAAACAAAAGTATTAAGTTAGTAGAGACCACTTAATCAAATGACTCCCTAATTTGCTATAATTTATTCGATTTTCTATTTATATTTTCCTAAAGTTAAAAACATAAAGTCCAAAGTTCATCCTTGAAATTTGCACCACTAGAAACGAAACTCTTAACAAAACAGAAAAACAAAATATGCCCTAAATCAAATTCAAGATTTGTGGTATACAGTACAATTTTGATAACTTACATGATGGTGGTCACCGACGCCCCGGCCCCAAAGAGAAGAGATCTCATAATGAGAATGAAGACAAAAGTGAGATACTGAAGAGGAAGACTTGGTATCAAGAGACATCCCGAGTAACCGACTGCCGAGAGACTTGTGACCGCTAGAGGGAGACAGCTATCTCGCATGTCGGCAAACTGACCACGAACATACGGTTTCTCTGCATTGCAAAGAGACGGTCAAATACATGTATATATATTATAAAATATCTCTTTTGGTGGATCCGATTAGATATTTATAATTTCTGTGCAGATAAGGGTTATAATCAATTTAATTTCATAATGAATTGTATCTTTCTCTTTTTTTGTCATGGTTACGTATTCAGAAATTGTCTTCTCACCGTAGTGTAGTCAAATACATGTTTATATCACTATGAAAATGACATACAAAGAAAGCGGACAAAATATACAGTTCCTTGGTAGACAAAGGAACATCCCTTCACTGCAATTATGTAAAAAGGTGAATATGCATGTGACACCTGTTCTACACATTTTCACATAATAGCAGTGAAGGGGTGTTCCTTTATCTACCTGAGGAACTGTATATTTTGTCCGCTTTCTTTGTCAGTCATATTCATAGTGTATATATATATATATATATATATACTATAAAATATATCTTGTGTTGGATTTCATCAAACATATATATATCATTCCTGTGTACAATAAATGTAATTTCGCTATGAAGTGTTTCTTTCTCTTTGTTTGTCATGGTTACGTATTCAGTGTGTATTATATGTGTAACAACGCAATCATCGAGCAAACAACAAATATAAAAACAGACTGTTACATTAGGATTATCATAATACGCGAAAATAATCTGCCAATTTTATGTATAACTTCATGCACAATAAACTTTTGTTGAGATGGGAAAAAATAAATAACGCGAAAACTCGCATATGACATTATCGATAAAACTTTCGAAAATCAACTTAAAGGGCAAAAACAATACTTCATTGCAATACGTATATACAAATCATAAGTCACATGTAATTGGAATATTAAAGGTAGTATGTCCCATTTGCAGGCCCAAAAAATGAAAAGGTTAAATTCCAACTGCATTTGAAAGATAATACTAATTTAGAACTTCCATAAAAAAGGTGGGGCTTGAAAATGTCTTGAAGTGGGAAAATAACGAAAATAGTTGTCAAATCGACTTAGGAGCAATAGAGCCAATAAATAATAGTCTTGATTTTCAGACCATTGTACCGAATGGTCATACGTCCATGCTGCGTAAAGATTCAGTCAGTTTAATTTTGGCCATCACAAGAAGTGGGTTATTGATGTAAACAAATGCCCATGTACCCTTTACACAGCTCATGTTATGTATGTTATTACCAAAGAAAAAAAAACCGGTCAGTCACTCAATAGTTAACGGGTTTCCTTGCATAATTTGAATATTAGGACACTGCTAGCGTTTAAATTTCACAGATAGGACAGTCATGACATATTCATAATTCCTGCAAAGTTCTACAGAATTTGAGGTTGGCTGCAAAAGGGACATAGTACCTTTAACACATTTCAAAGGATGATGGATATGACATCTTAAATTGCATTAGGGGATTTCCCGAAAGTCTTTGCGATCGTGCTATAAACTCACTGGTGGTAGAGCAGGGTGTCTGGAGCTTGTTTCTATCCATAAAAAGACCACCGAGAGGCCCGCCAAAGAACACGAAAGTCTGGATGATCGCGAAGGCATCGGTGTACCGGCTCACTGTAAACAAATACAAATAACAAAAAAACACCAAAACACAAAAGGTAAGTTTCCTCCTGAGCAACTCCTTTTAATTGTAAATTTTGAACAAATTTTCCAATGAAGGGGATTTCCTGTGGTTCTCATGTAAATTGTGTGTGCAAATCAGAAGTATCAGTCAATTCATGCTTTAACAAATGGGCACGCTTGACAGACACATTGTCATTCCTCTATACTGTACTGAGAGACATGTTAATAGGGACTTTTAGATTTGCCCGTCGACGTGCAAATCTAAAAGTCCGTAATGATCTCTTGACACCTAGCTGACCTTAAATCCATTATTCCTCAGTTGACTGAGCACAGGTGAAAGGACAACCACGTGAGGGTACAGTGACATGTCAGTAGATCATTACAATTATGGAATCTGTTTCGCAGTAGAGCAGAAGTAATGACATTGACTCCAATAACGGTTTAGTCTTGTTTATGCTTTCCCCGGTTTTCTTGGTCCTTTAAGAACGGCGCGCTAGGTTGTAGAGCTCCTTTGCTGATTTGTTGCTATGAAGAAAGTGCATAATATATTGTTTTATTAAGTGTTACTCAACAACGAATGTTTATGTATATAACTCAGTCACTTAGTGCTACTTATCAAACATTGGCTACTATTCCCTGGTTATTTTTAACAAAAGAAAAATAAGTTTAAAAATACTATGTCCCTTTTGCAGCCAACATAATTCTTTGCAGGAATGAATATGTAATGTATGTCATATCATTCTATGAAATTTAAACATTAGCAGTGTCCTAGTATTCAAATTGTGCAAGGAAATCCGTTTACCTTCTTAACTTCACCGCCAGGCATTATTGAGTGACTGATTGACATATTTTTTTCTTTGGTAATAACATACATAAAAATGAGCTGTAACAGGTACATGAGCATTTGTCTACTTCAATAACTAACTAAGTGTAATGGCCAAAAAAACCTGATTGAATCTTTGTGCAGCACACAACACAATTAGTTTATTATTTATTATTTATTATAATTAGTTTAATTGTTATTTTTATTGGGGAGGGGGGTAGGTCAATAGTAATTTTCACCGGGCACCGTACTCCCTAAATAAACCACTGTGCTCATTGCTTTATACAACTACCAGTAATATTTAAATATGAAAGTACTTGCACTACGTTTAATCTATTAAAACCTAATTACTAGTATCCTCATTTCCTAATTTTTGTGTGTGCTTTTTCTTTAAAAAAGCAGTCATCGTAGATTAATTCGATTAGGAGTTCTGAGAAACTCTTTTTTTTTTCGTGGTCCTCGTTATGGAGAGCGGTCAATAAAACTAACTGTGGTGGTGATATTCGTAAGGTCAAAGAACTCTTTGACTTTACGAATAGCACTTAAACACAATTAGGGGTCTAGTTTTATTATACGCTCTTTATAACGAGGACCACGAAAAAGAAATTATAATAAAAGTATAATAATAAATTATGTTTTGACAAATGTCAAACGATGTATATACCTGTGCATTAGCAAGAAAAACAGACCAAGCATTGATTATATTACAGCTACTTGCGCCCTCTATAAAGCAAACAATGCCTATTCGGTGACCATTGGTCCCCCATGATCTCCTTCTTCTCATGTTAATTGAGAGCTTATTTGATGAGATAACCACCTTCCAGTGGCAATGCAGGGAGGTGTTATCCCTCCTGGCCAAACTAGTGCAGTAGGGACTTTAAAAAGAATAGCTTTTTACTTCGTATAAAGAATAACAATATCTTGCAAATCGAAAAGGTAAACTCCCATAATTATCATTATTTATAATTATAGAACATGGAATTGTATACTAACACTTTTCAATTCTGATTAGTTTAACTTTTCACTGTAACTGTTGCCCAGGTGAACTCTTTATTTCATAACCATGTGTTCAAGTTGGTGATTTATATGCGTTAATTATTAATAAGATTCATGGTATGCTTCAATGGAAAATGTTTTGTGCACTGAATAGTATACATAAAAAATCATTGAAATAGAAAGAGAGACTCCTCGTCGACATTATTACCTAGACGTTCGTCGTTATTGGTAAGCCTGGTGAGGAAAAAGTTGACTGCACCAATTATGAAGTAAAGGTGAAGCTGCAGGATCGCCAGCCATAGAAGTATCATCCAGAATGGCAGGGATGATATACATGAGCGAATTGTCGGATATTTTCCTCTCTTCTCGTCCTCGAAACTGCCATCATTGGACTTTCTTTGGGCTTCTTTTAGACTCGCCGGCTCTTTTCCGTTGGTATCTGAGTTGATAAGACAAATATCGCAATGCTAATGCTATGATGGTGGGTTAAAGTATTTCAGTTTCTTACTTAAAGTCTTGTTGCTGTTGATGTTGATATTTTGATGTTTTCATGCCATTTCATTATTTGTTGTATACATAGGAAGTCGTGCAAAATATAACCTGCATAGACGGTCAGATTGACTATTACTACCTAGTTGCCAAAATAGTACTAAGTGTCTCTAGGAAAGCAATAAACAAAATTAGAAAATAAGTAAGGAAATATAAATTTATCAGAAGAACAACATCTTTCACGAGGGGATTAAGAACACGAATATCACATAGAAGAGGGGAAAAGAAGGAAAGGGATGGACGGGGATGACGAGGAGAAAAAGACAAAGAAAGAGAGAAGACAAAATTAATAAACAAATATAACAGATTTTATATTAAAAAAACAGGTCTGGAAATATATATTTATCAGAAGAAAATAAACAACGACAAAAAGAGGCCTAAGAAGAAGACCAAGAACATCACCGAGGAGGAAAGGAAGGAGTTATGTAAAGGAGAGAAACAAAACACCTAGACCTACCAGTAACTGAGTCCAACCCTACTCCGTCCCCGTGTGGTTCTTCTGAACACCCAATATCATCGGCGGGATCCTCAACGTATGCTTCATTGCGGAGTCCAGCGACACCCTTCTGGTCTTGATCGGTGCTCGTAGTGCAGCAGGTTACCAGTCGATGGTGGTCGGGGTAGGGCCAGGGAACGTGTTTGGCGGGCATAATGATGAAAGTGTTAATGCTGAGGAGGATCACGGATCCAGCCAGAATCGAGAAGAAGATTTTGAGGGACATCCCTGCTTCATAAGCTGCCTGGAGTGCGATTTGAATTGAGAAGGCGATCGGAAAGGCTTTCAAGAAATCAACTCAAGGTCGAATTGTAATTGGCTTGCATAATGTGTCAGTAGGTGATAAACAAGGATATCGAAATTGCCTTATGTTGATCATTCAAAAGACTTTGTGGTCGTGTTTGAGATAATTGGGTCGGTATTTGTATTATTAGTGAACTAACTTTAGTCCAGGTTTAAACCCCGACAATATGGGATGATGTCGTCGACTAATTTAGGGAGGGCCGAGTAATTTCTAAAAAGATTTACCGTAAGATTAACAACATTGAACTAGTACATGTTTGTAAATGGATGAATAAACAAAAAAATCATGCCGTCATGGAGTTGAATCCTTTTTCCATTTCATAACTTAATCATTTCTTTCCGTTCATCATTTTACAGGCTCTATAGGATTTTTTCGAAATTGATAGGTTGACATTTATTTTTGTTGGCGAAGCATAAGTGGATAAAGCATTCAGAACTGAGACCCTTGTCTAATAGTTTAAATTGTTTGTTCGTTTGTGTGTGATATTGGTCTAGGGGTTTAAATCATCGTTCACAACAATGGCAGATCATTTCCTGATGTGTATGGTTTATGTTAACTTGTATTTCACACAGAGACGATGTTAAGCTTGAACGGATATAGAGGTGTCGTGGTCTAGTGGACACGTCACCAGACCGTGGATTAGCATGGTTCGCGATTCGGGTCCCGCCGCGGCACTTATGTCTTTTGGCAAAGCAACAATCTACACTTGAAACTCTTCACCCTGGTGTTAAATGGATACCAGGTAGGATGTAAACTTAAATGTGGTTGGCAGGACATGTGTGTGCGTGTAAAATGGCGCCGGACCGGAATATTCCCAGGGGAGCGGAGAGTGTGCACTAATCATGTGCGAATGAACGCTTGAATCCAATGATCGGGTTGATAATAATTACAACGTCAAGTGCTTAGAATCGTAGTATTAAGCGCTGTATAAAACAATGTTATTATGATTATTATTTTATAACCCTCTCCCCTCTCCAAAAGGATAGCAAAAAGGATCAAATACGGAAAGAAAGAAAAAAGAAGAAGAAGAAACAAATAAAAAGAGAGACAGAGAAATAGAGAGGAATACAGAGAGACAGAGAGAGAGAAAAAGAGGAGAAAACAACGACACAAAAAAAAGGAGATGGTACGACCATACATCCCCTCACTCGACTCTTATTTCAGCTACCTGAAAAGACCGATGTCACCCAAATATACTCGTACCCCCCCCCCCCCCGCTCCCACCGGCTGGACCAAAGCTACGCCAAGGCGAATTAGAATTTTCTCTGACAAATATTTCTTACCTTAGCTATCAAAAAGACAATCGTTGATGAACTATACATGCCATTCATCAATGCAATGACAGTAGACTTCCTTCCTTGAAAAACATTACCAATCTGTGTTTATAAGGAAGAAAAAGAACCGTACATCTTGATTACAAAATATAGGTTCACGTTAGGGCGACCTGCGTGTAATTCATAGATCCTTAACTAATGAGTTATAAGCGGATCTAATCAAGAGCTAATGCAAAAGGTTACATTTTGTATTTTCATATTCGTAAAATTCTTGGGGGAAAAGCAAAATCAATCATGTAGCCAAATGATATAATTTCAAGAATGGACTAGAAAAAGTAAATAAAAAAAAAATAGTATGAAATCATTCTCAAGATGTAGTTATGGTGGTGATGAATGACGATGACATTCTTGAAAGTCAAAGCTATTGTCTCAATGGCGGACAGATGGATATTAGATACGTCAGAATGAGACAAGAGAGCTTTTTCCAGTTCATCGTGACTGTGCCATGGACAAGTGGTGGGCTTCGTGGTAGAGTCACGTACTGCTCGGCAAGGAATTGATGGCAAATTCAATTCCGCTGGTTTTAAAAACAAAATCTGCCTTTTTATTTCAATTTCAAGATCGAACATTTTGATCTTTATCTACTGGGTGCAAGCCAAACGTGTCTTAGAATGATGATAATGTTAATGACGATTGTGATAATGTTGGCGACGATGATGATGATAGACGATGACGATGATGATGATGATGGTGATGATAGAGAAAAGTAGATGATGATGAAGAAGAGAAGAAAAAGAAGAAAAAGAAGAAGAGGAGGAGGAGGAAAATGTACAGCAGAAAATGAAGAAGACGGAGAACAAAAAAAGGAGAAGCCGAAGAAAAGGGGGAAATCAAAACCAAATATTTCACATCGAAAACCTAACCGATAAACTGACCTGCATCGTCGAGAAGAGGAGTAAGGAGCCTGCCACAGTAAAGATAATGGTTCCAGGGAACAGGAGTAAGGGGGTAAGAGGAGAGCTGAATCCCATCATTAAATAGCCGATCAGTAACAGGACGCTAAAGATGATCAAAAGGGGGAAATGCAATAAAACAAAAATAAGTATACATGCTCTCTGATGTAAAGGTTTAAACATTTGTTTTATCCATTTATGATTGAAAGTGCGTAGTGAGCTGAAAGGTTCCTATATTAAAAAAAACGTAATGAAAAATGTGAGAATGTTATAAACCTCACCTGACCAGATGTCTAGACGATCTAGTCCCAAAGCGATCAAAGAAGAAGCCAAGCGGGAACATAGAGATGGTCTGTGAAGCCACTGACAAGGAGTAGACAAGCTGCAGGCGGCTGTCCTGATCGTGACATGTATGGGGATCTGATACTCTCTGTGAGCTGTCTCCGTCAATGGTTGTGCTAATCTATAATCACGATAATAGTGAACCATCATAGACGCCGGAAGTGGGGGACGGGGGGGGGGGGGGGGGGGGGGGGGGGGGGGGGGGGGGGGGGGGGCAGGGGGGCATTTACTCCTCCCCCCCCCAACCAAAAAAGTGGGGGGAGGGCAAAACGCATCCCCCTCCCCCCCCCCCCCCATAAAAAAAAACGCCCCCCTCCCCTCCAAAAAAAAAAGCAGTAAAGGAGTAAACATGGTTTGCATTTTTAACCCAAAAGAACATAACAATAATAAAAACCTGAATTAAATCACATATACAATTTCATTCAAAGAAAAGAAAAGTTCACAGGAATTAGATTTCATAAACATTGTGCATGCCACCTATACGGTATTTATCGATTGAGGTCTTTATAATAGCGATACGCGCATATCATAGACATATTGTGCGAGAGAGTTATGAGCCCCTGATGGGTGAAAAGACATGAGCCCCTAAATGCTGGCGTACTGATGGAGGGGGGGGGGGTTGATTCATGATTTTCCGGGATTTTTTTCTCCATTTTTTTGTAAGTCATACATTTTTAGGCGTTTGTTGGAAAATAAGAAATTCCCAAATAACAGTCGGGCGAAAAATACGCTTATTTAGAAGCCTTTATGTCATGGTCTGCAAAGTGGCTTTTTGAAAAAGTATGTTGAAAAGAAAAAGAAAGAAAGACGGAGAGAAAAAAATAAGTGACCTGCCAATGTCACAAAAAAGGTATAAAAAATGATCATCTGACCGTAATCAAATGCCTAAAACCACAGAGCTTATCGGGGCGCTGCACCCGGACCCCACCAAAGGCCCTAAGGCGGTCCCCTGGATGCTCATCTGACCGTAATTAAATACCTAAAACCCCTGAGCTTCCGGGGGCTCTGCCCCCTGGATGCTCATCTGACCGTAGTTTAATACCTAAAAAAAATGCTCTCTAGATCCCACCAAGGGCTTTAAGGCGGGCCCTGGATGCTCATCTGACCATAATTAAATACCTAATGACCCCAAGCTTTCAGGGGCTCTGCCCCCTGGACCCCACCAAGGGCCGTAAGGCGGGCCCCTGGATGCTCATCTGACCATAATTAAATACCTAATGACCCCAAGCTTTCAGGGGCTCTGCCCCCTGGACCCCACCAAGGGCCCTAAGGCGGGCCCCTTGATGCTCATCTGACCGTAGTTAAATATTAAAACCTCTAAGCTTCTGGGGGCTCCCCCCCCCCTCCCCCCTTGAACACGCCAATAGCTTTAAAGAGGGCCTCTGGATGCTCATCTAACCGTAATTAAATACCTAAAACCCCTGAGCTTCCGGGGGCTCAGACCCTTGACCCCCTGCCGAGGCTCATGCCCTGGACCCCACGCCAATTTACGCTCTACCTGATCGTTAATACTCCACTTTGAAAAACGTTCCGCGGGACCTGCATACAGGCGCGTACGCAGGGGGGGGGTTCGAGTTTTTTTATGTGTATGTTTTATGTATTTTTCATGTAAAAAAAAAAAAAAACCTTTTGATTTTTTTTTAATTAAAAAAAAAATTATAATGGCTGACCTAAAGAAGTTAATCCTTACCCCCCCCCCCCCCCAACGGAATAAAACGTCAAATCTCGAGACAAAAAAAAAAAAAAGGTCCTCTTACCCCGTTCAAAGCGCACTGCACACTTGACGCCGTCTTTACTGATACAACTGCGTCAGTAACTGGCGCGTGCTATTGCAAACAAAGTATAAGCAACAGGTCAATTTTTTAAAGAGTTACTGTTAGGAAAACAACCACGCCCCTCTCTACTTTGCAGGTACACAACCTTGACATTAGACTGCCCCCACCCCCTTAGGTTTAGATTTATAATTTAAGAGCCGGATCCTGGCCTCTATCACATGACGAAGAGCCTCTCGTGCCTCGTTACAATTTTTGTCATTCACCTATTTTATTTACGAATAATTGTATTTCAATTTTCAGAATGCGAATTGCAGACATTAATTGTTCCTAGGTAGGACAAACATTATGACTTGTCCTACAATCCGTTTTCATTTCACGAAAGTTCTTGTATAACGCGATGATAACGGGTGATTCGAAGTTAGCCTTTGAGAACCATATATAACAGTTTTACTGTCACCGAATCAATGTGTATAGCTGACCAAATATTGTACACAAGGAGGAGGGCTGCATATTTTTCTATTCTTTCATATACGCCTATATCTGCACAGATGTGTGGTTTTGAATAGATCGCGGGACAAGTAGTGCAGTCAACCAGACAACAGTCAAACAACAGCAAACAATAGTAACAGCATACAACAAAACAATATTTTGTCACTGAGTGAGACACGGTCATGTAAAATGAATTGGCATTTACGTATACACCGTAACATGTTTTGCTTGCCTTCATTGACAAGATGTATAGAAAGGTTTGCCATCTACCCACGGCTCCAACAGGGAAATGGTGTCACCTATTTTTGTTTAATGTGAATTTCGAAGTAAAATGTAATGCTCAAAACGATGCCACCGACTGATTTTTTTTTTTTTTTATAAAATCGGTGCCTAAAGCGTCCGAATGTTATGTTGTAGGGGTCCACCAGCGTTTATATGCATTTGCGAGGACTGCTTTAACCCATTTCCCTGGGTTATGGGATCAAGGTACATCTTTACAAGATGATACATCGTGGGTATTAGGTTTCGAAAGTCAAATTTGTCTCGGGTACCCAAACACCCATTTGCATGTGTGTCAAACTAAAGCATATTGACAGCCAAAGACATTAGAGACGTCACAAAACTTGAACTATATAAAGTACTCATCCTATCAATCCTTATGTATGGATCAGAAACATGGACAATGAAAAAAGAAGATGAGAACAGGCTCCTTACCTTCGAAATGATCTGCCTCCGAAAAATATTGGGTGTTACGAGACTAGATAAAATAAGAAACACAACAATTCGGAAGACTCTAGAACTGGATGAAACCATTCTGGACAAGATAGCCAAAAAACGACTGCGATTCTTTGGCCACGTCAACAGGATGAGACCATCACGATACCCAAAGATACTCCTAACTTCAAATATTTATGGTGATAGACCCCGGGGCAGACCAGCCAAGAAATGGCTTGATTATGTAAAGGCTGATTGTGCTAATAGATGTCTGGGATCCCTCACAGAAGCGACCAGAACGTCACAAGATAGGAAGATCTGGCTTGAGGTCATGAAGCAGAAGCCATCACACATCTCCCAGATGGTGCGGAAGGCTTAGGTCAAGGTAGGTCAAGGTCAAACTAAAGGAACTCGTTAATCCAACCGATATTACATCGTTATTAGGGCACATGGTGGGGCTCCGGGAGCCCTAAAGCTATTAATTGCAACCCAATATGACATGCGTGAAAGTTCTTCTTTTTTTTAATATTTTGTTTAACTTACAAGAATATTCACAAATATACCATGCACTGAGAGGCTCTGCGTGAAATTATGGATCGAGGTGGCAGGAAAAGCATTATTTTCTGAGGGGCATGAAATAGTACATGATATATTTGTTTTATATTTTTCAAACTAACCTTCTTAAAAATGATATTAACGGGACATTTGATTCGTCATTTAAATGATCTAGGTGGTCTGTTATTTAATCTGAATAACTGGAACACTACAAACATGTTTAAAGGAGAGTATAATCATATATGTATATATATGGGACGAATTGATGTTGCAATATACTTGGATGATCATGAAGATGGGGATAGGGATTATGACGACGATCATAAGGATAATAGTAGAGATCACATTGATGACTGGGAAAAATGATGAGGATAATGATAGTAATCATGCTGATGTAATAACCATGTTGGTATAGGTGATAATGATAATACTGATGAAAAGGATGATTATAATAACAATTAATAGACCTGTTTACTTTATGTATTTCAATTCATGTTTCTCTCCATGGTAAACATGGTGGAGGTGAAATAAGAATACAAAGAGCAAGGGGAAGAGCTAGAGAAAATTAAGGAACATCTGATGACATAAAAGGAGGAGAGCGAGAGCCAAAGGCGGTTAAAAGAGAGGGTGAAAGCTAGAGTAGAGAAAGAGGGAGACAGAGACAGAGGGAGGCAGAGCAAAGGAAGAATAGGGAGGCTGAGCAAGGGAGAGAGAGGGAGACAGGGAGAGGGTGAAAGAGTAGCGAGAAAGAGAGACAGAGAGAGATGCAGAGACAGAGCAAGAGATGGAGATCTAGCTAGAGGGGGCAGACCAAGAGAGGGGAAGGGAAACCTATCACGAGAAAAGAGAGAGAAAGATGCAATGGAGAACGATACATTCAATACAATGCACTATAACTTGGTTGACGTAACGGTATATCACATTTTTCTTATTGGTAGCATCATAGCAGTGTTATGTTTGGTCACATGATGCTATGTTGACCAATCCCTGAAAATTATTTCATTAATCAAATATATTTTAAAAAACATATACTATAAGATGTGTTGTACCAATAAATAATAGTCGCTGATGATAGATTATATACCACGGGCTCCTACACCTTCCATCACCATCACAATGTCTTGCCCAACATAATTATTGTCTATATACGGGCTTATCGAGAAGGAAAAAAAAATCAAGAAATTATTTCACTATGCCCAGGTGTCCACTGACTACATACTACTAACACCATATTTAGTATAACACATGCATGTAGAAAGAAATTATATTATCTAACTTAGTTTGATGTTCTTTAATCAATTATGTTGCATTTGGGCCCTTATAATCAGATTTAGGCTACCCGAGACCTATTTGGCTATCAAAGCGTCATACCTACAAAGTATCAATGTATTTTGATACCGAAATATAGATTTACTGTGATCCTTCCACCCCAGAAAATATGTTAAAGAAGTTTTCTTGACTGTCTAGAACTGCTTGTTCTTGTGGCCCTATTTGAGCAACTTCAGCGCCGTTGTGGTCTTTTGTAGGTCTTGTTCACTGTATTGTTTATAGTGGGTTTTCTACACACCAAATGAACATTTTCAGCCAAACTATTTAATCCGAATGATTATAAACACTGTTTGGTCCTTAAAACGTAAGTCTTGGCACTTTAGGCACTGATTTTCACAAATCAGTCGGTGGCATCGTTTTAAACATTACATTTTACTTCGAAATCCACATTAATAAATAGGTGAACGCAATTACCCTGTTGGACTCGTCTAGTACAAGCATCATTAACCCGAATACAGGGTAGACCACCAAAGGGACTAGCATACTTCCAATAATGTGAGGTCAAACTCACTATTACCAGCGGAAGGGAAATCTTTTCTCATGAAAAATTAGACGATGATTGGCAAATTTGGCAGAGAGGTTTTGGATTTGAAGGAATATTTTTGTGATACGATGTAGCGGTTCAAATTTGTCGAGAATCGGCAAAGAAACTGCGTGTTAAACGATTGTTATAATTTCTTAACGGGGTTTAGCAAGTCAGTGAAAACGGCTGAAAATGTGAGTAGGAAGTGTTTTTTTTAATTCAATCTAACGTTTATAGAGTACAGCTCTGCTAAAGCTTTCGCATATTAAAAACATTTATGAAGAAAAAAAGATAAGCGCTATTTAATACAAGCACTGTCAGAGGATGTCATTGTTTCACAAACATGCGTCTATTTATAAATACTCAACCAATTTTGGCAAATTTTGTATTATTTTTCTCTCTCGAAAGATTCCCCCTCTACTATTACCGATACTTTTTGACATTTTCCTTCACATTGTGAGCAAAACCTCACATACTTAGTATTTGTTTATAAAGCGCGTGGCATGCACCCCTTTCGTATTCCTTTGTATTTTTCCAAGGTTTTTTTTAGCATGAATGCCACGCCTTCCCCCAAAGTGCCATCCAATATTTTTCTAGAGCCCTTTTTTAATGTTTGGCTGGTCCACTATAACGTATGAGCGACCAAAATGACCACAGTATATCTTGGACTTGCCCGACATACACAGTGGGAGATATATCAAACACTTACGTTTAGAGATGAGAGTGTACGGTTTCTGCTGGTGTCGTTACACAGGTCACTGAAATAGCCAAGCTGTATAAGAATGAACACGAGTGAGGGCCAGCCAAAGATGACACCCCCATGGACCAGATTTTCAATGCAAGCAAGAAGAAGAGCGGCGCTCCTTTCAACAATCACCACAGCCTTCATGGTCTCTTTCAGCAAGTAATTACCGTCTACAATGTGGATAACTAGTATAACAATGAAAGTAAACAATATTGTTAACAATATCATCATCAATTCATCATCATCATCGTCATATCATCATCGTCAACGTTGTTGATAATATTAAGAGTATGTTTATGGTTTTCATGACGGCCATGTATTAAATAATCCAAGGTGACGATGATGATTATGATGATTATGATTATTATTATTATTATTATTATTATTATTATTATTATTACAATTTATTATAAACATCATCACTATCGTTATTATCACTTTTAATGACATACAAACATGCAATGTGGTTTTATTGCAGCAATATATTTCACATTTCTCTCCTCAGTTTTGAAAGAAAGTTCATATTGAATCGCAAAACACCAGGCAGCGCTGAGAAAACGTGTGACTGATCACTTAGCTTGAGAGAGTCCACAGGAGTGGACGAAAGTTTGCCCACAAAATTCAAGGTTTGTAGCAGCTTTAAAAACTACATTATATGATTATCCCCAACCGATGAGAGTTTTCTATGTCGATCGACTGTTTGTTTTCTCGTTTTTAAATACAATGACATGCGGAATGAGGCTAAAACACAAGGCTGAATGTAAAGAAATAAGACTACTAACAGAAAGAAAACTCACCTTCAGAATTACGAAGAAAGCAATCGAATAAAGTCCATGGATTCCGACTACCAACACAACGAACGAGTTCTTCCCCCTGAATATCAGTCTGACGAATATATGCAACATAAGTTATAAAAGATTACACTTCTACTATCTTAGTTTATAAGTCCATGAGTCTATCATAATTCATGATAGATAACGCTGTCACATAAAGTATACAGGCGAAAATCTCTGCGCATAGAGCTTTGCAAGTTCATGTCTAGTCCTATTTTACAGACTCACACATACTCTCTTTCCGCTCATTTTTTCATATTTCCGAAGAAGAAAAAACACGTGTCAGAGAGTGCAGTGAAAGAAAAAATAAGCGAATTGACATTTTTATTTTGAAAGACGTCATATATTTGTATGCTGATGAAAATGGTGTCGTTTGAGCATACAGTATCTATGAAGTATTGAACTTGACGGAGATTTCGTCTGTGACACTAGTGTGAACGCGCCAAACAACAGATGACTCACACTAGATCAGTTATTTTTCTTTGGCTCTTTATTCGATGTTCAATCGAACTATTGTCATAACAAAGGACGGTTTTTATTATAAAATCCATGGACCCTGAATTAACCTGTCTATACGTACTGTAACATTGCGTTAACCATCCGAATCGGTTTCAGTGATTTGCACATAATTTACAGGAAATAAACAAATCGTTTGAAACAACTAGTTTCCTATATATACAGTACATTAATTATCTACAGGAATTATGTATCATAACTTACCAACTATTCGTCATCCGGAGCAAAATCAAGAATTCTGTGTTTACAAACACCAAGTCTGACGCCATGGACTAGGTTTTCTGCTGCACAAATGTTCTTATCGCCATATAGATGGCGCTACCCAAGTTTCACGCCGCTACATTCCAGCCCCAAGTGAGTTTATTTATTTATTTATTTATTTATTTCGCATCTTTATACAGAGTAACATGTTCAGCTATAAAATCATTACAAAACATTGTTAAAAACATTAAAATAGGCTGGTTTACAACAGGGCTCTGTTTACAAACAACATAAAAATGACTATGAACAATATTATATATAGAAATGACAGGGGTAACGAAAGCTAACACACACACACACACCTGTTTACCATTTGTTTACAAAATACAAATTACATTAAAATCAAGCATAAAATGAATTTGACCTCATTGCAACCCCCTCCTCCACCTTCATTAAAAAAGAGCTATTTATTGCCAGGTTTGATACAACTTTTGAAAATGGCTAAGGACTGGGCAGATCGGCATTCATCGGACAAACAGTTCCATTCATTTACACTAACTGGTACAAATGTCCTCTGATAAAATTGAGTTTTGCATTGAGGGATACGTAATAACAACCTGTTGGTGCTTCGTGTTACACGTGTAGAGACTTTGTCATTTAGTACAAATTTACTACTT